GCCGGGGTGGGGCGGGATCTCTGCTCCCGCCGTGAGCACCCGGGGAGCCGGCCGCCTTGCGTCCGGGCCCTTCTCCTTCCCGTGGGGGGTCTGGGCCCGTGGGGCGGGACCTCATGGAAGCAGTTGGCCCGGGGACCTGCGGTGGAGGGGATGAGGTACTGGGCGCGGAGGGGCGGCCAGCACCCGAGGCGAGGGTGCACTTCCGAGTGACGAGGTTCATCATGGAGGCAGGTAACCGCGGCCGGGAAGAGGGCGGGCCCCGCGCGGACGGGACGTGGAGGCCAGAGCCGCATTGCTGCACTTTCACCCAGCTGGCCCCAGCCCGCCGCGGGAGCGCCGAGCGGGCAGGCAGGGGCTGGCGTAGCGGGGATCCGCTTCCCGAAAGACGGGACCCGCCAAATTCGGTGCTGGCGTGGCTGAGCGGAGGGAAGAGATCGGGCCTGCACTGCCCTAGCGGAGGCTGGGAGGCTCGGCTTAGGGGTACCGGCCTCTGCCTTTCCGCCACGCCCTGCATACTAGGCTTTGAGCTGCGAGGCATACGCGGTCTTGGCCATTTCATGGGCGGGCGCGTAGGTCCAAAGAGAGGATGTGGAAACTAGAAGGCCCCAACTAGAAGGTGGCGGAATCGGGGCGCCCGCATCTCGATTGAGTGTACCGCGCCTTCTGACATACCTGCCTTGCAGCATACGGGGACGCTGGCACTTGGTCACACGGAGCCTTTTGGAACATATGCCCTTGGTGAGGCTCCTGACAAACCTTGTTGACGAGGTCCCATCACATCTAGGACCCAGGGGCTTCCCTGGTGGCGCAGTGGTTGAGAATCCGCCTGCCAATGCAGGGCACACGGGTTCGATCTCTGGTCCGGGAGGATCCCACATGCTGCGGAGCAACACAGCCCATGCGCCTAGAGCCCGTGCTGAGCTGGGCTTGCAGTGCTATAACTAGTGAAGCCAGCGCACCTAGAGCCCGTGCTCCGCAACAAGAGGAGCCACCGCAGTGAGAAGCCCGCGCACCGCAACGAACAGTAGCCCCCGCTCGCCACAACTAGAGAAAGCCTACGTGCAGCCACGAAGACCCAACGCAGCAAATAAATAAATAAAAAATAAACATACAGGGAACTCTGGCAAATTTAAGTTTAAAAAACAAACAAACAACCCCCACCCCCCCAAAAAAACCCCAAAACAAAACAACTAGGAGCTGGGGCGCAGCTCGCGTTTTGAACCCGGCCAGGGCATCCACACCGTGGTGTTGGGTGCTCTAGCTCCAAAGGCGAGGCGATGTAGCTAATTGGATTCCAGTAGAAACACTTTCTCCATCAATAGTGGTTTGCTCCGTTGTTATTGATCTTTGTTACTTTGTATGCATTCTGGCGAAGAGGGCGTTGGGTGAGTCCGCTTTCAAGTCAAGGTGGGCAGAGTCTGGGGAAATAGTGCAGGACCATTAATCCCAGTGATTTGTACATTTAATTTCCAGGAAGTTTTGCAAAGTGTATAAGGAAGGATGGCAGTGCCTCCTCATATACCCCATACATCTGCTTGGAGGATCCACGTGAACCAGGGAAGCATGCTACCCTTTGAGGGTTTGCTTATATAAAAAGCAAGACTTGGAGGGTCATGTGCAGTATTACCACCTAATCTGACATCTCTGAGAATGAGGGGTCCCACGTAGGAGCTGTCTATGAAACTGAAGTTTAAACCTGGAAATGCTAAAACCTAAATGCTAAAAGCTAATGCTGAAATGTTTTGCATATGCCCTTGCCCTCTGTGTGAGGCTGAATACCGGTCCTCCAAAGATTTCCCCATCCTAATTCCCAGAACCTGTGACTGTTACCTCATGTGGCAAAAGAGATTTTGCAGATGGGATTAAGCATCTTGATGTTGGGGAGCTATCCTAGGTTATCTGGTGGGCCCAATATAATCACACCCATCCTTAGAGAGAGAGGCAGGAGGAGTAGATAGGCCACGTGATGATGGAAGCAGAGTTAGAAGACGCTGCACCACTGGCTTTGAAGATGGAGGAAAGGGCCGTGAGCCAAAGATTGCAGGCGCTTCTAGAAGGTTGGAAAGGGCAAGGGAGTGGATTCTCCTCTGGAACCTCCAGAAGGAACCAGCCCTGCCGACACCTTGAACTTAGCCCCCTAAGACTCATTTTGGACTTCTGACCACCGGCATTGTAAGAGAAAAAAGTATGTGTTGTTTTAAGCCACTTAGTTTGTGGTTCCTTGTTACAGCAGCTCTGGGGAGCTAATACACCTTTTTAGGTGGAGGATGTTGAACACAATTTGAATGATTGTTGGTTGTTCACCTTCTTTCAGTCTATGGGATGTCATTTAACCTTCCCTTATTAACCCTGGTCATTGTGAATTTGTTTTGGTTCTGTGACCCAATGCAGTGATTTCCCTAGGAGCTGTCGGGGGGATTTAGGGCTTTAACCCCTAAATCAAACCATCATGCTCTGGTTTTTGAGTTCTGTTCCCTTTTTCCCTCGAGCCTGACTGTGGCCATCGATGTTGCTTTTTTCCTGCTCTGCCGGCGGTTGCCTTTGGCAGTCACCCTTCTTGCTTTTCTTGCCTTTGCTAACCTGTGGACTAGTAAAGCAGTGCTGAGTATAATCTTAAACTGTGACCTCAGGACTTGTGGCATCTGTTTGATACCCAGAGGCCTTTTTTCCTCCTGTCACCTTGGGAGGATTTTGGTTATAGGTGAGCTGCAGAGGTGGGGGCGGCCTCTAGTTAAATGCCTGCTAAGGTGGAAACAGACACACAACTTGGTCCTTTTCAAGATGTGCAGAAAGGGATATGCCAGGTGCAGTAGTTTGAAACCTTGCTTCTCCTGGCATGGCCTTGAGGCTTGGGGGAAGCGTGGAGCCCACAGAGCTACTGAAGGGAATGCTGCACTTCAGCCTGACCCCCAGGGGCTTGTTAGCACGTTAGGGTCTGAGAGGCTCGCGTCTAAATCCCCCAGGTCGAGGACCCAGTGGAAGGCATGGCAGCCCCTGCCAGCTGGGCCCTGAGCTCTCGGTCTTGTCAGAACAGGGATGTGCGCCCTTAGGGCCCAACCTGGCGGCTCCTCTCACACTTTGCAGGGGGCGAGCCCTGGATGAAGCACTCCCCTGCCTGCTTTCTCTCGGCAGGTGTCAAGCTAGGGATGCGGTCCATCCCCATCGCCACCGCCTGTGCCATATACCATAAGTTCTTCTGCGAGATCGACCTGGACGCCTATGACCCCTACTTGGTGGCCATGTCTTCCCTTTACTTGGCCGGCAAAGTGGAGGAACAGCGCCTGCGCACTCGTGACATCATCAACGTTTCCAACAGGTAGCTGCTTCCGGTGTCCCCGTGAATGGGAGGCCAGAGAAGGATCTCACTAGGCCCTGCCCTCCAGGCGGCAGCAGTCCAACTAAGGAGGAGGCACCTGGGTGGCCGTGAACTGGGGCCGGGAGCAGTAACAGCAAAGGCAGGGATGAGCCAGAAGCCTAGGGGCACCTGTACGAGAGAAGCTGGAGCCAGATTTTGGGGAACCTCAGAGGCCAGATGGGGTGCAGAGGGGGGTGGGAAAGAGGATGTCCCTAGCGTCGCACGCGGGCACAGCTGGAGCAGAGGGAGCTCGCAGAGTGTGTACGAACAGCTGATTCACTTCGTGATACAGCAGAAACTGACACACCATTGTAAAGCAACTATACTCCAATAAGGGTGTTAAAAAAATAAATAAAAGATCAAATTCTATTCAAAAAAAAAAAAGATTCTCGTGGAGTCTTGGACAGGATGGATGGAACCAGTTGGGTTCTGGGACCGCCATCCTGTTTAGATGGTGCGGAAACTTGGTCAGAGTTGCTCAGGAGTGTCTCTCGCAGAGTCCTAGGCCCGAGCAGCTGTGTTCCTGTTGGGGAAGGACACGGGGGTCCAGCCGGCTGGGCGGGCTGTGCCGAGGTCCTGGGGCCTGGGAGGAAGCAATTTATGGAAAGTTAGTGCGTCATAGCCTTTCCAGAAACTCTAATCGTTAGGGGAGAAAACTATTTTGTGCTGCCTCTCTTTTAAGAAACAGTTAACAGAAAAACACTCCCCACCCCGTAAACATGACAGGTTCACAGTGTACCTCGAGAGAGTAGGAGAAAAACGGGAGGGAACCGCGGAAGGGCAGCTGGAGTCCACCTGTCATTGCCAGGGCCCCAGCAGGGAGGGTGGGCGGGCACGAGGGGAAACTGTGGGGCGCTCTAATAGGACGTTGGCGCCCGGTGTGGTTCTGTGGGGAGATCTGAAGAAGAGGGAGTGGCTGGGAAGGGT